TGCAGTGCCCTAGGCACTTGAAACCACTTTGGGCTCACCAGAGGCACAGAAAGCAATCCTAAGAGCTGTTTCAGAGCTAGTACACTAAAAATACTACCTCTTAATGTGTGCTTTGTTGTAGTTCCGTAATTCCTTCCTTTGCAAGCTAGGTGCGAGTTTTTAATATTACTTTGTGTTGTATCTGTATCTTTCCTTTTTTGGTCTTAATACTGACCTGTTGGTATAATCCTCCTCATCTATCATGACGTGCTTTTTTAGAGGTCGGAGCAGGCACGTGTACATGGCGGACTTGTCAGAACTGTGCGAAGGCGCTCTGTCTGCTTCCCGGTTGCAGATCTAAGCAGAATCGTTAGTAATGCTTCGTGTTCGACCAAGGCGGGTGGCAACACTTGAGTGCTCGTATTGCAGCAGATGATGGTGAGGATATGCATAGTCGTATAGCAGATGCATGTATTGTTTTCCTGTAGTCTCAGGGGCAGAGGTTAAAACAGAAGCAAAAATGCAAAACCAATGTTGTGTGAGGTGCTACGCCGGAGAGCAGGTGCAGGTTACACAACAGGTCTAGGCGACAGGCTGTTCCCTCTACGTGGTGGGGTTTCACTGTTGCATTCTTGGCCTGACCGCGTCTATTTGACTGTCACAGCTGGAATCTGTCATATCACCTCAGTCTTTCTAACTGCGGAAAACGTGTGCAGGCTTCTCGCCACCTCCGTTTTCTTTTTGCAGTTTGCACGTTGCCACTGTTGCTCACCTTTGGGGGCCCCTGCTGCAATACAGGATGCTACCCTGGGACTTGGGTTCAGTTCGTTACTCCATTACATGCTGTCTAAAAGCGTTGAGTGAGCCAATTAAACTTAAAAAGCCTAAATTCCTCTGTGCATCTATTTTCTTTTGTGGATCTGAGCATTAATTTCTGTGCATGTAGCCAAATAAATGTTGAGACTGCATACTCTGTATAGTCTGTGTCCACTTAAATTTTACACAGAAAATAATAAGTGGCTCCTTGACAAATTAGTCTCTTCCCTCATCCTTAGTTAGGTTGTTATCCTTAGCTGCTTGTTATCTGTGCTGATTGAATTAAAGCTAGAGTGAGGATGCTTATGCGCGTTGCCTTTCCGCTCTCATTTAACTGTGTAGAGGCACTTCCTGTACTCCAGTTCACCATTTGTGAAGAAGAGAATTACAGCCTTTTCCTACCTGATCAAAGGTTGAGAGACATTGGTCCTAAATATGTGTAGAGAGAGAACTGCACAGTCTAAAACTATATTTTTCCTCTGTATGTCTTTCCAGGACTTGTATACTTTGGGCACAGATGGCCAGAGACAAGCTATCAAGTCCACTGAGTATTCTAAAAATAATCAGATGGTTCATTGGCTTCTGCATTGCTGTTGAACGTGCCATTGTCTGTGCACGTCGTTTTGGAAAGTGATGCTCACAGCTAGAAGATTGCAGCTGTAGAGCCAGCAGGCAGCTGTTTTGGATGCTTACCTTGGTCACAGCAAGCAAATATAGTGCTTTGTACCTTGTTGTCTCCTAAAAAAGCAGAATACTTAAACTGAAAGGAGCAAGGTATATTATTCTCTGTGCCTGAGAAATGAAAAGGAGGGAGGAGAGAGGAAAAACAAGTCAAAACTACAGATGACATTATCAAACTCTTCAGAGGACTTAGGATGCTCTGTTCGCATAGTTAGTTGTTTTTAACATACCCTTTGGAAACATAATTCCCTTCCTCCTTAGTTAGCCTCACACCTAGGATATCTGCCTCTCCCCCTGCTTTGCGTGTACCATGCCTGGGGATTGCCCAGGGGTAAAGGGTGCAGCGGTGGGGAGAGGGTGAGGCAGGGGCTTTTACAAAAACTTCAGTAACTGCTACCGAAAACAAGTATTTTGAAAGGCCCATTTCAGCTTCTAGTTCTTTAAGCAATAAAAACCTATAAAGTGTCACTGATGACCTATAAAGTAAACACTGCTATCAGTGACATATTAAAGCTACACCAACATAAAACACACTCCCACCCTACTTGTTATTGGACACCACCAAATAAGAAACTCCAGATATTCTTCACTAGTAGTAACTCCTTAAAATATTATGAAGGATATGTGATTAGAATGAATATTTGAAAATCTAGGTTTTATGAGACATTTAAGCCTGAAAAGGCTTTGTGAGGCTGCTAATTGTCAAGCTTTTTTTTTTTTTTTGCTAAAATATGAAAAATTCCAAATAACAAAAGCACAACCCAGAGGTTATGAAGTTTGTGCTCCTAATCATTTTACTTTTCCTAGCACTACTGAAAGAAAGCATTTTCAAAGTACAATTTTCAGGCTTAAATATGTCTTCCTAGAACAGCTCTATGCTTTCTTCTAAGAAAGTGAGCTAAATAAGTTTTAAAAGTCAGAGTGATGTTAAGATACTCTTCTACTGTGAAAATTTTCATTTATTGGTTATTGGACATGAGATTCCTGTGTGTTTTTGTTTGCTTTTTTTATTATTAAATCTTCAGCTGAGTGCCTTTATGTTGCTTTTTTCCTATAGTAACATTTCAAATTTTGAGGGTTCATCTATTCTGAACAGACTTTTGCTTTTTGTAGTTGTCCTTGTTGGGGATGGGTGGCTTTTTTTGTTTGCTTTCCTTTTATGAAAGGATTTTGGTGGGTTGCATATAGCTGATATTGGAAGTATAGGCTATATACCTGTGTTTTCATGGCTAGAGCTTTGTTTCACATTAATGAAAACAAACAACAAACTTTCCAATCTAAGCAGTGCCAAAACTCTTTGGTACTGGCACCCATTGCAGCATCTGCAGTTCTCACCTGGCCTCCTAGCTGCTTTTTACACCTCTTCTCCTCCTCTTCCTCCTGGCTCCCTGCTCAATGGTACTCCTTTCATGGCCAACACAGTGCCAGGGCCGAGCTGATATTCCCCTAGGTGGATCAGTAGATCATGGGAGGGGGAAAGAACAGATGGAAGGAGCAGCCACTTGCCTCTCTGGCAGGGTGAGGTGCCCAGGGGCAGATCTTGCTTCCCTCTGCTGACTCCATGCTTACGGGCTCATCATATTTCAGTGAGGTGAGGAGAGCCCCTGCTCTTTCCGCTTCCCTGCGTCCCACTGTCCTCATGTCCCAGGTTTAATAGTATCTCAGTACTCTATGGTAATTTGATACCTCTTGGTATCAGCCTCACGAGGCTCAGATGTGGTCCATCATGTGTACACCAGCATGTCTTTACCTTCAGTAAAGACAAACTAGACTGAGGGGAAGCAAGTGGTTCCTCTTTCTTTGAACTCTTTATTTTGCTGTAGAGGCAATAACTATGTGCTTTTGAAAAGTTTATTTAACTTGAATGGAGTATGAACAAAACCTAGGTTGCGGATCTTCTGAGGGCCCACCCAAAGAGTGGGGGTAAGGATGCACCAAAATTGTCAGGAAATAGTATCTTTGTATAGACTGGACATCTGGACGGAGAAATTTATTTTGATACTGTTCTTATCCTACTATCAGGTAGATTTGTGTCCTTAAGGAGATTGCAATGTGCATTAACTTGCAGAGATGGCTCCTGTGTAAAAGGGGTACTCTATTGATAAATTCCAAGTTGTTATAGGCAAATATGCCATTTGAAGAGTGCTGTTGCATAGTGCCCATTACTATAAGACTCAATGTAGGCGCATAGAGATCAGAGAGACTAGATTCTCTGTGATGTACTGCTGATTGTATTCAAAATTAATGACTATGAAAAAGTGCATTTTGAAGCAATAACTTTGATTGCTCTGAACTGGAGAGAAAATTATGGTGTGTATTGCAGGTAGAATGTGGTATGATACGTTCTCCGACTTCTCCAAATAGGTTAGTGTAGTAAAAATACACTAGCTCTTTTGTTGACATCTGGCAATTTGTATCTCATAATCTTTTAGTATGGGAAAAATAATGGGAACTGATTAGGTCACAGGTAGGTAATTCTGCTTTTTATATGCGTAACTTATGTGGCTTCTATTTCCTTGTTATAGACTAAAATATTCAGGTAGTAACTTCTGGTTTAAACTTAAAATCTGGAGTACTGAAGAAGAACTCTCAAGCAGTTAACTAACTTTGTCCATGGGCACAAGCCATCAGGGTAGGTTGGACGTATTTGGGAGGTTAGAAGAGGATAAAACAATCTTGGTAGGATTCTTTGAGAACAATTGGTGTGGCATAGCGTTAATTGCAGTAATTGCCAAGCAGTCCTGAGACTCCCACCTTCTGGTTTACAGGTGCCTCAGTACTGTATTCTGCAAAGTTGCTGTGCTTTTGGTGTCATAAGCAAATAGATATGGAGATTGTTGTGTGTTCATCTAAAGATGCTTTTGCCTTATATTTCCAGTGTTACTGTGGTTTCCTTTTGGGTGTTTTTTAACTTCTCAGAAAATGTTCCCTACTCTGCTCTTTCTCCAGGCGACTACAATTCACCTGGAGAGCAGGAGGTTGGTCCATCATGTTTCCCCCTCTGTGTGTGTTTAATGGTTCACAGCAATCAAACCTGTGCACAGAATGTAGATTACTCTCTTTCAATATTTCAACCTTCCTGATTTCTCACTGTTAAACAAAATTGTTCTGAAGTGAACATTATGTATTTTTCTATTTTTAGTGTTTGTCCTGGATGTTTCTGAACCTGCTTTTCATCTTTCTGTCTATAATGCAGGTGAAACCAGGAAGAGGTTTTGGTATAAACTATTTAACAGTTGGGAAAAGATTTTAATCCTGCCAGGGCTTTAAAACTTGCTAGTGGTCTTTTAATGGCCTCCTTTGCAGTATGCCTCTCTTTCTCTGCTGGAGAAACTGGCTCGAGTGCATTTATTGTCTTTTGTCTTATTGTATACTAAATTGATATCTCATAGCAAGCATTCACCGGTTAAAGATTTACTTGCTTTGTCGTTGGGTCAATTGCATTTCCACAACCCTGTAAGTTTGTGTAGGTGTTGTTGACATGTTGATTTATGAACTTCCTGTTTTTAAAATGTTATATACAGGGGATTCAGCCTGGATATGAGGTACTGAAGGGAAAAAGAGCATAACGCTTGGCTGCCCACCTTGCCCGTTTAACTGTACATAATGGAGACCAAGGAAGAGAAGAAGGAACGAAGACAAGGCTATTTTGCTCGGTAAGCTTACAAGTTTCAACACTGATTGAAATATGAAACTCATCACTCTGCTTTTTTCATGAGGCTTTACAATTTTTAAAGCATGTATAAAAATAACCCCTCTACTGCATAAAGAATCCGGAGAGAGCTTTCTTTGTTCCTGTCCCTGGTGTTGGAGTGATGATTTGCTCTCTTTAGGTTACGGAGATAAATTTGAATTGAAAGTGTTATAAATGACACAAGACTCTTTCTGAGTAGTGAGCTGCAAATTGCACTGAACTTGAGCTTCCAGCATCCAGTTTCTGAAGAGTGTTTATAAACATGTCTAAGTACAAACATATCTAAGCATAATGTTTATCCAATTTCAAATTAAAGCACAGATTAAGTAGTATTATCTCGCAGGATAAAGTGAGCTTAAAAAAAGGGTAACTGTGCTAATGGTCTAAGCTGCCTAGACTTTATAATCTTTATAGATAAAAACAGTGGTTTCTTTTTTGTCAGTCACTTCTATCATTTGAAATTCCTGATTGGTGGGTTTTTTTTTTTTTTAATTTTTAAAGGAATAACTGATGTTGCTTCCTTAATAACCTGACTACAAAAAATACTGAATTAAAAGACATCTGTGAGCTCTGATGTACAGACCAAACAAAGCTCGTTTACCCTCTGTAAGGGGCAGGGGGAGAAGCTTAGTGTAAAAAACTTCCTTGGCTGTTTTCAAACTGAAATTCAAAGATGGCTCCTGCAGCATTGAGAAGGAAAACCGCATGCTCTCTCCGCTCTGTACTAAATAACTGTTAATGATACTGCACTAAAACGCTAGTCTGGGTGCATTACAGACATCTGGAGAGGTAGGTGCCTACCTTGAAAATTGAAAAGTGAGGGCAAAAGGGACAGCACTTGTCCATTGCTTATCAGGATGTAAGGATGGTTAAGGACTTGAAAGTTTTGTGGTGAGGGACATCGGTTAATGGTGCGTAACTTGCTTTTCATTTGGAGAAATGCTATTTTGCTGATGGAAATAAATGTGATCTAGTATTTGAGAAGGGGAAATAATAGCACATATAGCAGAGGAGGTATCAAGTAGGATAAAACTGAAGTAGCTAAAGAGATTGCACTAAGGAACAAGTAATTTCTTGTTAAGGAAGACTTGGGCTTCAAGAAATGTCAGAGTTAGATGCTTTGGTATTGAAGATAATGTTTTGAGCTGCTGAGTGGTAATCCTTTTTAAATCTATCTGCTAAACAAATTGAAACTACCTCAAAAGGCTTTCAGCAAAGTGCTTCTTGACATTTTATTTAATTTGTTTTTTCAGGTTTTGTCATCTTTGGCTAGTCTCCCCTAAAATTCACAGGGGCAGCTTGTCCTGCACAGGCACTAGGCAGGGGTGAGAAGACCTGAATCTAGCACTTCCCTGCTATGCAACTTTGAGAAGGTCATCTCTCTCTTTCCCTCCTGGCTTATGACTTTTTCTTTTATCTAGGTTGCAAGTCTTAAAGGCAGTCCCTGCTCTAAACAAATCTGTGCATTGTTTCTACAAGAATGATACCGCAGACCCTCAAGTGCTGTTTTAATAGAAACTAAAATGGGCGAGAAGGTATTATGCCCAACATTCATATACTTTGTCTGTGTATGCAGTCAGGGACAGAGGCAGACCCAAATTTACATTTTCTTGATTTTTAGCCTAGCTTCATAAGTCTAGCTTGCTTCCTCTAGTAAGCAGGTGTCCCAGCAGCTTGCGGATAAATGCTTTGACACAGTACGAATGTCATACCAGTAACTGAAAATAGTAGTAATACAAAGGCAGTTCTAACAATGTCCCTAATGTGTCTTTAAGCTTTTTAAAATTTAACTTTCTACTAGATATAGGCAAAAGTTTCAAACTTGGGTGCCTGATATTGCCACAGCTAGATATTTTAATTCAGTATGTATTTTGATTTTCCCTGTCAATTTTGGATGTTTAGTATCTCAGAATCTGAAGGCGCCTGTTCTGCTCTCAAGTTTGAGTGTTCAGGTTTGATAATCTCAGCCCTGCCTAACTTTAATATTATTTTGTATACTTCTTCAAATATCTGTGTTGTCCTGCCAGCTTGGTCTCATCTTTTTTAAGCCAGGAGCAACCTTGGCTGATTCCCCAACACCTGCACCGCTCTACTTTCATTACTACTACTTCTGTTACTGTGTTTTTTTTTTCCCTTATCTGTTTTTACTGTTATGTTTTGTGAGCCTAGGATAATAGTAGTATTTACAAAATCTAAATTTATGTACAGTAAATATTCTTATGGGACAAAGTGGTTTTTTCCCCCCTCCTTTGTTGATCTTGTTACTTCTACCTGTCATTAAATTAAGGAGATAAAAGATCAGATATTTATGCTTGTGGGAGAGGACTACTGCTTGCCAGAAGAGAGAATGGAAAAAGGATCCCTCGCTTTCCTAGCAGAAGAGACTAAACCGTGCCCCATGTCTGGGGAAAGGGGGAAAGCGCTCTGCTCAACTCTGTGCTGAGGAAAAGGATTGTGTTTAGATTAGATTAGAAAGGGCAAAACTTGTGCATGCAGTGCTGCTGAAATAAAATGTTTTACAGCTATCGTGTGGGCTATATTTGTGAAAATACATGAGTTTTATTTTAAAAAAAAAAAAAAAAAATCTTCACATGAGGGGAAAGGTTCTTGTGGTATTAACAAGGACATTAACATAAAAATGGGCCATGAGCGTGCCTACTTGAATTTTACTTCAAACCTATAGTACTCTGTACTGCTCTTTCTCTTAAGCTCCTGCTACCAGAAACCTGAGTTCTCTGTCGGCAGAGCAAGGGAGCACGTGGACGTGAATAGCAGGCCAGGCATCTGCTTCGCTGCCCTGCCGGCACCCCGAGCCGACTGGCTCCCCCTCAGAAGGCAGCGTTTGGTCTTCAAGCTAATGTCATTCTTGGCCCCTAGAGGAAAGCTTTGGGTAGGGTTGGCGCTCAGTGTCTGATGGATCATGGTAGCAATCCTTTGAAAGGCTCAACGTGAGAATCCCCAAATATTTCAAGTGGTTACTATGGTAGTAGTAATCTGCTGACAAACCAGCTCCTAAATTGCTAGGGAGGAAGCAAAATCCTCATGGAGCTACTGTCTGCATCCCCCTCCCTCAACTTCAGTGTTTCAGATAGGCTGGTTTGAACTATTTAGACTTCCTCTTTAGATAAGCTCTCCTTAGCCATCCCATCTTTCCACTTGGGGTCTTGAGTCCTCAGTACCTCATGTTTTCATGTTTTTCCCCTTAGAGGAACAGCAAGCACTCTTCTCACAGGTCCCCACCGCTCTTTAAATTTCTGCAAAAATGGTAGTATGTTGATTTAACTTGAAACTTCCCCCCCCCCCAAAAAAAAAAAAGAAAGAAACGTCTACAAAACTTTTTAAAGACCAATTTAAATTCCTTGTGGAGATAAGATGTTACAGCTTGTGGGAGTTTAACAGGCAAGAAGAATGAGTATAAGAGTTAACATGCAAGCATGAGCTTCTCTTGTGCAAGAAGTCCTTATCTGAGACTGCTACTCCTATTTGAAGATTATTCTGTGTAGTTAATTGTTTTTGCCTAATTCTTCAAACCTTGTTTTCAGGCTCTTCTGTTTACTTCTGTGTCGTTAGCTTCAAAATGGACCGATATTACTCCAGCTCTTGCACAGAACTCTGTCTCCTCTTGCTCTGAAGTCTGTCCTGGTATCCAGCAAGTCAGAAAATAAATGGTACAATATAATATAGATGTACAATGGCACATCTATGTGTATTAGATACCTGCTTACTGTTGCCTGACTGTGACGTTTGGTTTCTTTTATTGTGGTTGTGTTCCCCTGAGCCCTGGTACAACTTGTTATTTTCCTTTACGTGTGCTTCCTTTATCTTCCTTTTGTTCTTACAGAGTGGAGAACCTCTCTGCCTTTCCCCTGTCTGTTTTGTAGGTTCTCCACTGCAGCATAAATTCAGTGATAATATTGTGCAAAATCAGGGGGATATCAGCTTGTGCACATGTGTGATTTGGGATGGCATTATGTAGAAATAATTTCTGGTAATTATAAAAGCTGAAAGTTTGAATAATCCTGATTTTTGGTGTAATGAGGAACAGTATGAGAGCCATTAATTAACAAAGTAGCTGCTACAGTAACAGTGCTGTCCTGTTATGCCTTCTGAAGAAGAACACTTTAATCAGTAAAAAGGCGTAACAAAACAACCTCCCCTTCCGAACTTGGTGTCCTTTCTAGTTATATCTTCTAGTAACACCGATTATTGCGTGTAGAAACCTAGTTCCTTTCACATCAGAAACTATGCTTAAAACAAGTTTAAAATAAATAACTATTACACATTTAAGTAAATTTAAAAGGAAATTACCAAGATGAGTGACGTGTCATATGGAAATTATTGCTTTGGTTGTAAATTGATAGTCTGGTACTCTGAATGTACAGTTTAAAACTGGAATTGTTTTTTGTATACATAGTTCTGTGATGCTGGATATATTTGGACGAGAAGTTCTAGGAGATGAGAGATTACAAGGGAAGAATTTGTTGAGTAGTTTTCTGAAAGAATGACAAAACAGGCTTTTAAAAATACTCTGTATCTCTTAACCTTCCTAATTGTGAGTTAGTCAGCATTTCCCGTGCTCTGTATGATCTACTGTCACTATTACAAGTAGTTCTCAACCACTTTCTTACTGGAGAACCAGAAATAAGTAATGCTTTATTTGAAAAAAAATATTACTTTTTGATACGTATACTGAGATTCTTACATTAGTTTATTAATAACTGGGAACACTAATGAGTGTCAACAACTTGTGGTGACCTTAGGCTGAAGAAAACAGTATTGAGATGTACGTTAGAACTGGCGTTTCCGTTGAACCAAATTTCTTTTTTAGGTTTGTAGGGGAATTGCGAGTTTTAGTTCTCAGATGATATAAATATCTGGGACATGCTCCAAAGTCCATTTGAGTAGGCAGGGACTCCCATTAGCTCCTGCTTTACTCGGTCAGAACCTGAAGCCAGTTGTAAA